AAAAGGGTACCCTTTTCTGTAAAATATGATCTTTTATAATAAGACGAAAAAGGGTACCCTTTTTTATTCAATCTGTTGATACTCAATCGGATTAAAAATGGTCTGGAATTTTATCAAATGCGTTAACGCGTTAACACACGTTAAAGCATAGCGTTTAATTTAAGTGTATACCAATTCAAAAAGCAGTATAATTCGCTTATTATTAAATCAAAATGGCGGAGTACTTGGAGAAAATATCGAAGATGTGAAAAACTATGTTCAAAAGAATTATACTTATCGGCAGATTAGCGACATTTTCAAGCAGCATTTTCCTGGGGTTAGTCGAAGTTTCTCGAAGAGGAACATTCGGTCATTCTGCTCAAAGCGTGGAATAAGGAAATTGAACAATTTTGAAGTGGACACCATGCAGTATTCAACAGTCTATCAATGCATGAGGTATTGCATGTGTGCTGTAACTGATTATTTTAATAGATATGTATACGTATAGCGTTGGGTAATATTGTGAAGGCAAAAGTGTTTAATATTCATAATTGAAATTGAGAAATAGTATGGTGAGCTAACACAACTGGAAAGACTTATAATAATTATATTATATATTATATTACGTTACGTTACGGTACGATATATATATATATATATATATATATATATATATATATATATATATATATATATATATATATATATATATATATATATATATATATATACCGGGTGGCCCAAAAAAAAGTACTACTGTTTGATTCGTAATAACTTCTAAACAAGTAAAGTTTTTAAAGAGAAATAACTTCCATTAAATAGAGAAAGGACTAACTTAGATTTTGATATATTACAGTTGTATTTAACTTAAAAATTTACGGATATATTAATGTTAAAAATGGGGAGCATATTTTGGAATGTGTCTAAAATTAGCGAAAATCGGCATATCAAATATTAACTCCAGCGTTTGTTTGCTTAATGACATATTAGGCTAACTCGTATTTCAGCGAATTATCGTTAAGGTTTGTAAGGGATATGGCGTAGATTTAGACATCTTACATGTAAGTCTTAGCTCATTGTTTCCTGAAATATGAACGTTCGAAATTATGCAAGTATTTAATATTAGGTTGTGACAGCATGCCCTAATTCAGAACTACGAACGATCCAATGACGATCCTTCGCGATGCAGTGGTCTCATGAAATAAGGAAACGTATTCGTGCTAGGAACACACGCGAATTTCGAACGAATGAATCTTGCTTGTATTTTGTAGATATAATAATACTTTGTTTCATAATAAACAATTTGTCAAGTGTCATTTATTTACTGGTAATAGTGCATGTTTCAGTCGGGCAAATCTTGATTAATATTTGATACGCCGATTTTGCATATTTCAGACACATCCAGAAATATCCTCCCGAATTTAAAGATTAATATCTCCGTGAATTTTTAAGTGAAATACAACTGTAATATATCAAAGTCTAAGTTAGTCCTTCCTCTATTTGATGCAAGTTATTTCTCTTTAAAAGCTATACTTGTTTAGATGTCATTACGAATCAAACAGGAGTACTTTTTTTTTGGCCACCCGGTATACATTTCGAAAATTAACATAAAATACCTGAGTTTATGTTCCCAGTAATTGAGGTCAGCCAATAAACAATTATAGAGGTTTTTGAAATACATGTCCAGAGATTGGAAATGGAAACTCACTCTAATAGAGAGTTAATAGAGAGCGGGGTGTCCATAAGGAACGGTTCAACTGCCATTTGACCGGAGTGCAAGTTCAGTGTTGTAATCATTCAGATACCTTCTGTATTATACTGTTACAGCTTCATATAACTGATAGAATACATTAGGGACGGACCATTTTTCTCTTTTGTTTTCTTTTACGCGAATTATTTTTTATACTCCCCCACCCAATTCCTTTCTAATGGTCCGCCCCTTAGATCTGCTGGTGCAAGTTGGCACAAGGATTATGTAATGTAGTATCACACTTATAAGCGCGGTTAAAACAACGTGTTGTCACTTGGCATACCTGGATCAAACAGACAAATGACTGACTCTTTACAGCATATGCTTGTATCGCTTGTAAGAATTTGGGGGGATGGAAGATACATCTTTCGGAACATAGCTCATTTTGAAATCGGGATCAATATCCAAACATCTTCCTGTAAGATTGTTATTTGAAAGATATACGGCGCGCACTATTTTTAACGGCACCTAGATTCTAATCCAATACTGTAGTGGTCTAGACGTAGTGCTGTAATCTAGTTGTTTTGCTGTAGAAAACAGAAATAACCAGGTTAGTTGAAGCACCAAATCGAGGCAGGCTAAATCGAGAAAGCGTGCTGAAAAACTTTTATCACTTTTTTGAACTAAATTTAGCAATCGGTTCCTCGTTTTAATGATAGGTTTCCACTGATCTTTTGAAATTGCTGTTTTTGATGCCGCACAAACACGATATATGTGATAACGTCATAGCGGCAAACATGGGGGCGAGGCTGGCAATCTTCACAATACAATGCAGCCTTTTAGCAAGGTCATGATAAATACAGGCCCACGCAAAACACACTCCATGCAGGGAGGGTATCGTAAAAATTGTGTTATAAACCAGAGTCCTATAAAGACGTAATGTAAACAGAAGCAGAATACAAGCACTCCAGCGCGTACGAGCAATATTACTTCATTTAAGAACTCCCACGCAGAAAAGTACTGAAAACCCGCACGGCCAATACCAAGTAAAATCACGTTGAATATAAAATAAAGATAGATGACTACTAGGACAGTATTTACGATTACAGTATAAGCCCTTAGCTCTAGACTTGCCCCAGTCTGCCTTTTAAAGGAGTTCAGTTAGTTGGAGTTGAAATGGCACGCGAAAATATACCGGAATAAAAACCCCTCGGCCTTGGTTGACCTTGGCAGATTTGGAGTAAGTCTATATATATTGACTATATTAACCATGGTCTATATAAGCTCGGCAATGAATTGATAAAAACGACAAATTCTATAGTCTCTCGTGACTGCTGCTCGTGACCATCTCATGTGTGAAATAGACAAATCGTCTCAGTGTATTGTTTTGTGTGTTGTATGCAAATCAGTCTGCTGAGACTTCAGTCTTCATATAGGCGACTTGAAACCGTCACAAGTTTAAAGGGGAAGGGCGCACTTGATACGTTCTCGACACGCCTATGTTGTTTTGCTGAACTCCAAACAATTTTATAAGTGACGGGACCTGATGCCCCCTTGCAAGATAAATTTTACCGATGGCATGATATATCAGTTAGGGTTGTAATTGGGGCCGGGTCACTGTAGCAATTAAAGAGAAATATATTCATGCGTCAAACGTGAGGACATATACCCTAACACTGGCTTCTAAAGCTCAAATTTGAACATTATATATTGAAATACATCGTTATGCGAGTTAGGGGATACTCGATAGGCATATTCAAAGGGAAAATTGACCGTTTGCAAAACAGAATAATTGTAACTGTTATTGCGTATTTGTTTGGCTATTCTGACTTTTTTCGCATCACCGATTTGGCCCTTGGCCTATGTATTTTGTTCTCACCACCCAGGGAGGGAGGGAGGGGTAGGGTAGTTGTTCCAAAATGTCGGACGAAGTGAATATAAATTCCAACGAAAGAACCCTTGATACAGTCGAGTTTTCCTTGAGACAACCAAAATATGACCAAGTTAGTGTTTGCAGATATTTTGATTTTCTTAAATTTACAGCTTTTTACTCAGGCATCAGACATTTACGGATTTACCAATCACTATCATGTACTCTATTCAGCTATTGTACTGTATTATTACTATTAACAATATAAACAGACTAGCAGGTTTAATTATAATTTTGTGTTGGAAATTAATATGAAATTATCAATTATGCAGTAAATGAGCATTCAATTTTTTACATTTTTAGAACACGTTTTGGGGAAGATACAGGAGATGTTTAGATATTATTGATCCCAGGACGCTGCTAGTCAGCAAGGTGTGGTACATACAAGCAAAACAACCGAAACCTATCTTGCAGTTGCCTACTGTCAGACATTCCAACCACTGGAACTAAAAATTAGGGACTCTGCTCAGTGAGTTCCAAAGCCAGAAAGAGAGGGTCTAGTTCTTCTCGGAAAATAATGAAAATTAAGTCTTCTGAAATGACATTGCACCCATATTTTGGGAATATGTAATTATTACAAGTAAAATGATCCTATAAATTGTCACAAAGTAACTTCATAAAAAAACTTCATAAACTTTGCTAAAAACAGTATTTTTTATGATTTTTTGATGATATTCCCTGAATACTTTGAAAAATCAGCAGAATTTGATAAAAATTGGGAGATTGCATGAATTTTCAGGCGATACCCGGCCTGGGAAAATTGGGAGAATTGGAATGTTTGCTATTGTGGCTCCAATTTCCAGCAACAGTTTGTTTCGAGGTGATGCCAATAAAACTTGGCATCCAGTTTTGTAATCTCTTAACAACAACACCTACTATTCACCATATTAACTCATCACCCACAACAAACACCTGTGAGTTGGCCAAACCACAGCATCAGCACCATGTCAGAAGCAAAATGCCTTGGGAATAACATGTTTTACTTTATGTACACTGCTAAAATATAGCTATATTTGGAGAACTTGGACTATGCTTTATGTCCTAATGAAAAAGATTACATACATATTTATAACACCATGCAAATACAGATGGTATTACCACCACTGTACCATCCAGGTGCTACCTACACTACTACTGACCCTATCTCAAATATAAATAACATCACAATCAACCAGAGATGATTGACACCACTAATTTATCAACATCAGTGCTGTTGGCATCACTATGATATCTAGCTATTCTGATCAGTGATTCTGATGCTCATTTACAATGACCATCATAATCTTCCAAATTATTGCAATCACCATTATCACTATTACCATAACTGCTGCAGCTGATAATCATGATCATATTAACATCATTGTGACTGTAATCTGGAATATGATTCCCTTACCAGCACCAATAGTGATTTGCATGCCTGCAAACAATTTTGGTACATTATCCATTCAATTTTGCAGTACTGCTTTGTCAATAACTATATCAGGAACAAAATTCTAATCACCATTGTCATCAGTTAATTATATGTTACCACTGGACAAAATATGACTACCTTTACTGACTACCTACTAACCTACCATTTGTGATTGATACACATACAATTTGTATATGTAATCTTTCAACTAATTAAGCTGCATTGCACCCTAGGCTTTCAATTGCAAATTCAAGTGGAGAATGTTGAACCTTACAGGTTATAACTCTACCTGTACTTTTTAGGAAAAAGAACAAGATTGTCTAAAGCTCCTAGATGCATATAAACATAACAAACTACCTCCTGATGTGACCTCAGACCAAGTATACACTGTTAATTAATGTTTTCTCATTATATAAATTAATTAACTATGATGCATATTTTAAATACTTAGCTGTAAGTCAATTTTAACTTTATATAGTTATGGGAAGCCAGAAAGATTAAGGAGGTTGGTGAATTTAATTGTTATTGTTGGTCAATGTAAAATATGATTCAATAAAATTTTCTTTATAATATGAAATTTTATTAAGGATTTTTACATGGTGCAATTTGCTGGACAAGTTCCAACTAGGTTTTGCTCAATGTTAATGACAAATATTTTTAGTTAACTGGTGATATAGTCCGATGATTTTTACCATGCTTTCTTGAAATATCATTCATGTAGAATGTCCTAATAAATTGCAAAATATAATTGGCATCAACGTAGTTGAGTAATTTTATCACTAGCCTCTTGATTTGTGCAGATGATAATGTAGTTAAAACTGATCTTTTATATGCTAGGCTATATTTCATCCTGATACAAATGAAAAGATATTCATGCCATTTCGCATGGCAGGTAAGGAAAAATCACCCACTAAGTATTGTATTTCATGCATGCACCTATTTTTAAACTTTGTTAGATTGCATTATTCTATTTATATTGTAGTTCTTTCTTGTTTAAGGGTTTGTGCCATTTGGAACTATTACAGTAAGTATCTAATTGTCATGTGTGAAGATACCTAAAACCACATTTTTTGTGTTTTGTAACTGTGTAAAATGGTATTTTAGGTTGTTGGAATGTTGTTACCTGCCCCAACCTTATCAACTGTTGTATTTTGGCAGGTATGGACTATGGACAGTGTATCAATTGAATTTTACTTTAAATTAAACATTCAATTGCGCTGCTGCTATGTTCCTCTAAAAATTTATTGACTTGATTCTTTCTTTCATTTTTTTCCTCTTGGTAATAGTGGTTAAATCAGAGTCACAATGCTGCAGTAAATTACTCAAACAGAAACGCTACTAAGGTTATCAAAGTTTTTCCTTGTTTCCTCAAACTTCATGTTCCTAATTAATAGAAGAATATATTTAATTGTTACATGAATCACTTTTGCAGCCTACACCAACCAGCAGGTTTATTCTCAGTTATGTAACGGCCATTACGAGTGCTGTATCCATTGCTGTTGGCTTGACAGTTTTTGTTCAAAAAGCAAAAATTTTTTCTCCTCAAGTTAGAAGATCATTGCAGAGATTGATTGCTTTCCCCGCAACAGGTAATTAAACACACTTTTTAAGCCCACTTTTAACGCCCTGTATATTATGATCTTACAACATATTTACTACGTATCGTATATTTATTCAGCAAGTGCAAACATCTGCAACGTGTTAGCAATGAGGAGTAACGAACTTATTGAAGGTGTTGAATTGGTCGACAGTGAAGGCAACGTGAAAGGGACATCGAAAATTGCAGCGAAACGGGTAGGGAAGATTTTATCATAATTACTTTGCCCACGAGACTCCCACGATTAGGTTTTCTTAAGAGTAAATCACGTTTTTGTGTTCATGTTGCCTCTTGGCGATGCCAATAACAGTGTTGAATTTCAAAATTGTTGTACAATATTACTGTATTCAGTTGTAATATCTTGTGTAAAGCCACTCAAAAGTCTCAAACGTGGGTTCGCCTTGAACTTTTCTCACGGCGAAAAACTACGTATACAATCACTCGTCTTCGTCTCGTGTTTTCAATATCCTGCTAGTATCAATCAATCAATGTCAAGAGTATTCACCTAAATGCGTGACAGGAGAACATGATTAGCGGCTAAAGCGATTTGTGGCGCTGGTTTTACGGTTTGAAATAGCTTGAGTCTCGCTTTATGTGTTCCTTAAATCAATAAATTGAAATGCTGTGTTTTTATTACTAGGCAATATTTGAAACTATTATCACCAGAGTATTTCTATCTGGCACGGTTCTTTGTACTCCTGCATTTGTCATGACTGCATTGGAAAGGTAAAAGAGTTGAGTAGACTTTTGAAAAAAAATTTGAACATCTCACTTACAAATGAATTTTAATTATTACTATTTTTATTAGGACAAAATTCCTAAGGAGGAATCCTCGATTTACTTTACCAATTCAAGCTATCGTCTGCGTTTTATCGTTTGGTATTGCTCTGCCTTTTGCAATCGCTTTGTTTCCTCAAATGTCTCAGGTAAGAAATCCTTTGTGTTATTTCTGTTTCTGCCTTTCTATTTTCTCTACCACCTGACATTTTTTGGGTTGGTGCTAACCTGGTCAAGGGCGTAGAGGGCACCTGCAATGTGTAGGTGGTGCAAAACTCTGGTTTTTCTTGAACTTCAAAAGTCACGTTCAGTATCTCGCATAGTACACGGCAATGTGTAATGCTGATCAAAATTCGGTTTGAAAAACGTGCGTGAAAATCAGTGCAGTGGACAACGATGATGTGTTGTTGATGCTAAAATTGTCACTTATATAAGCTTGATTTTCATTGGCTCGTGGCTGACCTGATCAAGTGATAGTCACTAATGTGAAATAGTGTGCATTAACTCTGCCATTTAATTTTATGCTGTATGCAAATCAGGCTGCAGATTGCAGATTCATACTTAATAACATCAGTCACCGTGACATCACGAGCAAATCATGGCAAGCCGGCGGACTTTAAGATTGACTTTGACCGCGTTTGATACGCTTCTGCCTGTGTCAATCAAAACGGCATCCAATTCACTCTCGAATGGTCATGTTTCAGCTCTCAAATGCCAAGAAACAGACTGAAAGTAAATGATCTATTTATAGTAAACAAACAAATTGTGCTTGTGCCAAATTTCAAGTGCTGTGGAATTTTTATTGTAAAAATAATGGAATAATAGAGAAGCATACTTGGGCCCGCCCTGAGCCTACGCGCACGTCTATACTCCGAAAACATGGATATTTGGGACTTTTTCCGGCATATAGGCCTTACTGCCTCCCTGGTGAAAAAATCCTGCGTACGGCCCTGTGACCAAGTCGTGATCATCGATCTATATTGGCCTTTCTGTGCTGTTTGCAAATAAGTCCTTACAGATTACATAGATCTGTATATATATAATATCTGCTACTACGACGGTGCGACCAATTGGAGTTTAAATGGACGCCAGACGTTCATGTTTATGTGTATACGAAAACACACTTTTAAAACAGCGCATAGCAATTTTCAGCAACGGAACAAATATCATTGACATGTAAATTGTTTGCTATTAATAAAAGTGGCATGGGATGACTTGACTTTTGTAAGCAAATTAAAGCAAGTGATTTCCACTTGAAATTGAGTGATTTCCATGGTGATAAAGTAGGCAACGATTTGCTCGGTCGATTTCTTAGTGTTTTGCATGCAATCGCACACACAGAGAATGACTTGAAGTACGTTGAAAATTTTTGAATCCAAAAATATTGTCGACGTCACTTATCTTGGTTTTCACAGACAGCGCATGCATAAGCGAAAAAGAGCATGGACGTCCTCCTTAGGCTGACAAGCGAAGCTGATTGAATTTCCTTTCGTTTTGTCCTAGCTTGTTCTCTTCAAAAAACCTACTTGATATTGTTCTGGAATGTTTTGATACAAGAACTCAGATCATTAAAAAACCAGAGAGTTTGTACAGCGATAAACTGGAGATCCTGCTCTGGAGGGGGGATGGGTGGGGGAGGGGGCGAGTTTGTGTTCCCGTGTTCACTTGATAGGTTTCCCTCTGTTCCCCACATTAGATATTCACCATGTCCATGTTCTCTTGTTTCTACAGCTTACATGTTCCCTAATGTTCCTTACATGTTCTGTTTTGTTATTGTGTTCCCATTGCAAAATGGGAACGCAATTTTTGTATTCGAGCCAAACCATGCATCATTATAAATTTTATTTGCCTCTTTAAAGCACTTATCCTAGTAGCCCTTGAGGCAATAGTCAGTGAATTCAGATAAAACACCAAAAGCGACTTCCAACGTTTTAACTGTGGACCGTCATGGTTATGAACCGCGCAAATGATGTAAATAACGTGTCGGTTTGAACCACTACCCCGTCTACGGCGTACTAGAATGCTCAAGGAACACTCATAGGGCGCTTTCCATTTACTGGTCTGACCGGTCAGACCCGAATTCTTTTCTCTGTATCAATGGAAAGATCTGGTCTATGTTTCTCAAATATCTAGCGAAAATGGACCTCATTCTAATGTTATCTAAATTTTCCAGTCAGATAGGTCCGAAGCCCAAATGTTTTGTGTTTCATTCAACAATTTGACCGTTCTGACCGGTTTGGCCGTGTTAAAGGAAAGCGCCCTAGTCGCCTTTGTCTTGAAGTAAAATTCCATTGTTGATGTTCAAACGGGCCCAGCGATATTACATCGGCATGCAGCAATGTTGTTGGGTTAAAAATGTTGAACTGGTTTAAAGTGTCTTTACGTCGTATACCACATTGCATTTAGCCTGCTCACAGCCCAAAATTTAGCACCAAATTCGATTGGGCTGCGAGCAGGCTACATTGCATTCGCATGTTGCTTTTTTTTTCAGATTGATGTGAAAGATACGGAGCCAGAGATCCAAAATAACTGCAATGAATTAATTTTACATTACAACAAGGGGCTATAAGCAAGTATTAGTCACTGATCTAATAGTCTACTATTAGATCTGTGGTATTAGTAATAGAATAAATAATTTAAATATAGGCAACAAAACAAATTGAGAGCTTTTCGAAGTTTCCAAAACTATGTGCGTCAAAGTTGATATATGCTGCGCTGCAAAAGGAATTGTAACGATTTTATTAATTATATATCGTTTTAAATCTCTTAGGGACCATTCATTATTTATGACCAGCCGACCAAGGGTGGGCTGGCAAAATAGACCTTTCCGGTAATTACGTCACGACTAACACTGTTTTCAACTTAGGACCACCTTAAATGGAATGGATTTTAAGTTTGTTTCTCGTGGGCTATTAGGCCCCTCAGCCTCGTTTTCGTGTTTAAGCTTATTTCCACATTTAATAGTCAAAATCCAAAATTCTTTTTTATGCATGTCTAGTGTTATATAGTTCAGTGATCGGTACCTAAAAGCATTCTCGTTCCCAATACTTTTTTACTCGGTCAATTATCTCTCTATAGGGGATATATGTAACTGGAATGCGATTGCGAATCGTTTCTATGACAACGCGTGTAAAAGCAATATGGCGACTTTTCTTGATGCATTTGAACCGCGGTTTATGGACGGAATTTGACTTTGTTTTTATCAATTTTGAATTGATATATCATTGAAAATTATGGACCAATTTGGTACTCTTGAATTAAAGTAAGTTGGGAGCTTTTCAAGAACATTTACCAGTCTGCAAAACGTAAACAAGGCAAGGGTTTATTAATTTGAACACACAATCTTAACATACATATCAGTATATCACAGGGTCGTCAGTGGAAGGCTGTAGTAGAATATTTTATTTATTATTTAAAATAATTGCACGTATTTTTCTTTCAGATGGTCTCAAGGTTATACTGGTACCAAACTTCATTACATAAAAAAAGATGTACTTTGTTATGTGTGTGGAAACAGTATCAAATTTACCAATACCTCAACGAAGGATGAATCTTTCCTATCATCTGAGGGTGCTGGAATTGCTTGTTTTGCCATCAACCCGACCAACATGGCTGTTGGGTTTGCTGACAAGTCAATGGAACCTAATATCTATGTGTACACATATCCAAATTTAACTACATATCGAGCAAAACTCAAAGGTTTGAAGCAAAGTGCATTCCACGTTACTGTAACTCTACACCAGACATATGACTAAATTTATTTTTGCTTGTTCTATAGGTGGTGCAAAGCTTGAATACACATGTATGGCATTTGCAAACAATAGTAACATTGTTGCCAGCTATTCTGGTGTCCCTGATTTTAAATTGACAATATGGTAATCACAATTTAATTGTTTATCATAAAGTTAATAATCAACAATGTTCTTGAATGTGTCTCAAAATGTCCACTGATTGATCGATTGTGCCACAATGGGTCATTCCAGAAAACATCCATACCACCCCCACCGAGGAAATAGGAAGTTAACCCCCCTACCCCCTTTGAATGTCCTAATACATTTACTAGCTATTATCAGAAACGATTTTTTCTCCCCTCCCCCTCTGGACGGCAGAAATTTCCTCCGTGGGGGGAGTATGGATCTTTTCTGGAACGACCCAATCGGAAATGACCAATTACACAGTCTGGAAAGTTAACTTTTTGCACGCCGGACATCGATTCAGGCACTTGTAAATGTACGCCAATTTTTACTAATTTTGGAAATATTAATGCGCAAAAGTTCCAAATACACCTTTTTAGTATACACCTATTTGGTCCATATTTGTTGAATTTGAACAATTACTAGTCCATGTAAACAAATGTACGCCATTATGTATGCCAAAATTTGTGTTTGTACACCGGACAAGTCCGGCGTATACACTCAACATTCCAGTCTGGCCAATTACCAATTATTCATGCAACAATCGACCTATATTTATAATACCAATTTTTTATGATGTCATAATGTCAGCTGATTGAGTAAAGGTGACATTTAGGCTGATACAGTATTGGAAAATTTTCGATATATAGATATAGAGAAAAAAACCCAACTATATTGAAAATATGCAAATTACGAAATTTATAGTTTAGCTCTGAGTTTAGTCAATATACCAATTGTCTACTGATAAGGCAAAACTTAGCCCAAATTATTTGTCAATCACTGACCATTTCATTTGGCCTCTGAGCAACCAAATTGTGCTAGATAGTGCACCTTAATTAATTTATATTTATACTGGCTAACACTTTATCATTTTGTTGTTCAGGAACTGGTTAGAAGGTCAGATGCTTTGCTCAGTTGAAACAGATGAAATCTTGTGTCATGGAATGTCTTTTAATCCTTCCAGTTGGAAACACTTGTTGACTGTTGGTAGTGAAGACAGTGTGTGTCTATGGGACATTGAACAGTCGAATCAACGTTATCTTGTTACACCCAAGTAAGAGAAAAACGTGAAGTAAACATGCAATTAACATCCATGATTTCATTTTTTCTTGAGCTGTGCTTTATATTTCAGTGTACTGGCCAACAGGGCCTCCCAGAGTGGAGGGGGCAAAAGGGCCCCAAATAAAAATAATGTGAAATGTGCATACCGGTATATAGATATAACTGTCAACTGATTCCCAGAATGCAGTATTTTACCATTTCTGTTTTTAAAATATTTCCTATTTCCTGTATAGTTTTGTATTTTAATTTTATTGTGTTCCTCTGTTTGGTATTCAGCGACATCACAATTCTGTTTTGACAAAAAATTGACAAACATCTGACCTCATGATTTTAGTGTTGTGAAGCTCCCTTACACAGACGGTAGTGCTGAAATTGGTGATTATGATGATCCATCAAACAACTTAAGTCGCATGAGTAATCCATTATCATCAACCTCAGTAAAAATGACCAAGGCAGCCATCGCTGGCATTGATATAAAACGATTGACGTCTTTTATGCCAGGTGAGTTTGTAGCCATGCATAATATTTTAAAATGAACGGAAACAAGGCTAATTATGTGGCATAGTCACTGCACTCCCCCCTTTACCATTGTTGAAAAATGCATTTATTGTTGAAATGATATTTAGGTAACGAGAAAGAGAGATGCTGTGCAATCAGTCATTGCTGGTCAAGTGATAATGTTGTGTATTTGGGCTGCAAGAAAGGTTTCTTAGTCTCTCTGGACTGGGAGAAAAGTAAACTGACAATTTTAATGGATTGTAATCTACATGAGACTCGATCCAGTGAAGATAATCTGCATATTATCCAGGAAGGTATGATGCTCTTCAGAGTTCTGTGGATTTCCAATTACATTTATAGTTAAAACACAGTTGCAAGCTACTGGCTCTTTACCTTAATGGCTTAGATATGCGCTTGCAAATGTTCCCAAATTACAGTCGCACAAAAATTATGACAAGTGGAGTTGTTGATAAAACCTCGAGAAAATATCCCTGAAGGAGCGGTTATTTCAAAAATAGATGAACCATTCAGTGTACTGTTGCATTGATAACGTTGAATGATTATTTTATTACCCATTGAGTGTGCCAAAGGTACACCAAAGTAGGACGCATCTGAGGTAAAGTGTGCAATAGTGGTAGGTAGTAGGTAGTAGGACGCATCTGAGGTAAAGTGTTCAATACTTTTCAAAAATAGAAAGGACTTATGGTGTTTTTTTAGAGGAGTCTATTTCCTCAGAAGCTTGGCAGTCAATTCTCAAATGGAAAAATGGTTTACTTGCTGGTGGAAGTGTAAGAATACTAAATAATTTAATTGACTAATATTTACGTGCAACATTACGTTAGATTGCTATTGGCCCAATATGTATCTCTACAGCTCTGTATACAGTATGTACTATTGGATCTATTGCTCTGCATATGTAACCTAATTCTATTTTTGAAATGTTTTCAAAATATAAATGTTTCAATGTAGGATGGTGTTCTCAGATATGTGACCATCACCGAAAGTAAAGGAAAGATTGAAAAAGCTGTAGAATTGAACTTCAGCATGAACCATCTGTGTTCTTGGTCCACTGACGAGAAACTGGCTGTTGCAGATGAGGGGGTAGGCATGAGAACTATTTCATATGTTGTGTTAGGCCTCCCCCCCCCCCCCCCCCAGCTCAAAAGGGCCTGCCTTGTTTGGGCCTGTTGCTCGCCTCTTCTTATTGCGTATTTATTTAATCTTGTAATTGTTACCGCAGTTAAAGTTCAATAAATGATAAATAAATGAAATTTTCTTGATACAGAATTGCTTAACTGAGAATATAAATCTTAGCTGTGTTAGTGCGGATAATATGCAATATTAAAAGTGTAATATATTGTAAAACATCGCTTCTCCCGTTTTACAATTATGACTTCGTAGGAGTGCCTGTGTGGTGTAGGTAGTATTCTACGTTCAGCTGCCATGATTTGTGTCTGAACTGCCTGAAAAAGATAGATTAGATATGAGAAGTTATGAGAGAGGTGTAAGGAATAACGCAAAAGTATACACCTCCTCAATGGTAAGTGGTGGACATGCGCACTTATAATTTGAAGAACCTTTAACTATTGGGCGTGTTCATTTAAAAAACTGGGGGTAGCAAGTTTGAGAGTTTGAACAAAGTGCTATCGTATTTTAGGGCGCAGTATATCTTTATGATGAAAACAACGAGGACAACCAGTTGACAAAATTGTTTGATGATCATTTTGGCAAACTTGTTGCCATAGATTGTCTTGAACAGGGGAATGATTACGTTGCGGTAAGTATGATGTTGGTTATTAAATTATATGTGAGCTCTATGATTAACATTGCCGCGTGCTGTTATACCAGAGACAGCTCTGATTCTTGGGGATGAACTTAGGCATGGAAAAGATCGCTCGTCTCATGGACTATAATTATTTATCCTAACCCACTCTGTCAAATTGCCTTGTGGGAGGAAACCGGAGCGCCCGCGGAGAAAACCCACGACTTTCGGCAGAGCGTTGACTGACTCTTCTCACGTGAATCCGTAGCGAGAGTCGAACCCAGGATCTCCGAGGTGAAAGACGCGTGCTTTGACGACTGCTCCACCGAACCCCCCTGTCAAGAAAGGAAGGATCATCATCCATCATACCAAGGCTTTTAGAATTATTCTGAGTAGCTGTCTGTTTTGATAAAGTAGGCGGTTGTTGGGGGCGGTCTAGGGAGTCTTAAAGTCATCCAAATTAACAAGTTTATATTGATTAGATAGCAACACAACTGAGCTCTGTAACCAAATTATAATATATCACTACTTTCATTCTTCAACAAGATAACTTCGAGATTTAAGATGGCAAATAACTAAATCGTTTTACGAAATAGTACGTCGTTTTTGAAAATAACCAGCTATAAAGTAGACCAGGTTGATGAAAAATAACTTGAAAGCTTAGAGTGGAGGAAGGAGAGCAGAATTGATATTTCAAGTACTAAACAAAGTAACCGGCGGTGAACCTCATAGCACCTGCCGGAGCTCCGGCGGCCGCCGGCTTATTTTGAAAGCCTTGCATACCAATCCTTCCTGGTGAGGTTAGACCAATCAACTACATTATCTTGTCATTTCTTTCTTTAGACATGCAGAGACAATGGTTGCGTTCAAATCTGGTGTACCAGGACGTCCAAATTAATATCACAGATTGTCTTACAACACGAGGTGGTGTTTTATTTCTATATATTAACACAACACTTTCTATAGATTTGTACAAAATAAAGTGCACTTAAAGATAAGTGGGAAGGGACACCCTAAGAGGTTTCAATGAAAGTTTTGCTGCACGGACTTGAAACAAGTTTACCTCCTGGGTGGGGCGTCCTTTTTTCCGACCTGTACGGACCATTCTTTTTGGAGAAAAAAATCCGTAAACCATAAGAAATTAAAAGTGGAGCGTAACCCACCCAATCAACATTCTCAGTGGGAGAAAAAACCAGAGTACCCAGAGAAAACACATAATCTTCGAGAGAATTTTTTCACGCGGATGTCTTGAGTCCAGAGTGGGAATCGAACTGACAACCGTAGAGGCGAGAGCCGGTTGATCTGACAACTCCGCCACAGACGCCTCTACCGCAAAAGCTCTTCCAAGAACTTATTTGTAATGAAAAAATCCCACATTTTCCACCTTTTACATTTAGTTTATTGACATAACTCGTTTGTTTTTTTCTTGGGTATTTCTATAGACGAGCAGCATGGCTTGTTCTCCTTCGTCCAGTATCATTGTTATTGGAACAACGTCTGGTTATGTATACTTCGTAGAAACAACCACTGTAGAAAATCCGAGAATTTTATCTTGTATTCTGCTTCATAAAGGACCTGTATTCCATTTATGGTTAGTATTTTGAAAAAATACAAGGAGAGCTTCGACGTTTCGAACGAATGGTACCAATGCTGGACTAACCATATGGTCCCCGCGCTTTTTTCTACGTCCATCTTTTCTGTAGAAAGATTGACATAAACTGGACATAAATTGACATAAATCGACCGCAAGATTGCCCCAAAAAGTGCGAGACCCCCAACAAGCACGGACAACACAAATTTGCGGAACCTTGGAAAAGCGCGGAGTCATATAACCTCCAGGGGCCGATTGTATAAAACTCTTAATCACTTTTTTAATCACTATTTTATCTCAAATACGCGCTTCTTATTGGATGACGTTTCCTCTAAGTATAGTTAACTTTAATCACGTTTTTCTAGAAGCCAGAGAATTTTACTTGATAATTTTCTATCCTTTAGTTTTGATAAATTCGGTCAAGTTTTGATCACTGCCTCGAATGATGGTCATGTTTTTGTTGTCGATCCCAGAGTTACAACGGAGTTCAACGTTCTCGGACACACAGGTAAATATTGATCACTTGTAACTTCTGTAACTGTAATTTTAAATCACTTTCTGAATACATGATTTTTGATTATCACATTTCATATTAAGTGGATTCAAGAACAGCCATCTAGTTTTTGACATACCAGCACTCTGGTAACGAGTTTTAAGAATACCCTTCATTGAGTCAGTGAACATCGTCTCGCATGCAATCATCTTTGCAAAGTTCGTTGTAGATTTTGTTGTACTGATAATAATTCGATGTTATTATTTTATCTTTTAAGATATTCCTGGACATGTTGTGGATGTTTCTTGTCTCAATACAAGAGAACAAAATCGACATGGACCCTACAGAGTTTGTATTTTGCACAGACCGAGTGACAAACCACAGAGTGGATCTAAAATAACGTTATTTGAATTGTCGAAGGAGATGGTGCCACGTACGTTTACGATATGAAGGAGGAGCCCCTAGGACAACAGACAGGGAGGGGGGAAAGTAGAAACGGACAGAGGATCAGAAATTAACAAACGTTTGTCTTGCTTTCTCGTTGTATAATTTATGCACTATACCAAGGCCGGATTTTGGTGGAAATGCTGGGGGTGGGGGTGGAAAACTGTTTTGGGGGAGGTGCAGCAATCCTAGCTCATGGTCCCCATGGAATGTTAGGGTTTAGAATGTACCCCTGCCCCCATAAAGTCAACTACGTGACGAATGATGACTGTATAACTCCTCTCTCCTCCACAGAGGCTTTGATGAGCTACTGCTGTTAAAAATATATGCGCTAGACGGTAATGTTAGAGAGTTATGCGCTAGACGGTAATATGTAACGAGGAAACCGCTAAAATTCGGAACTCTCCTTGCATGCGTTCCGAATTTTAGCGGTTTCCTCTTTACACATTACCGTCTAGCGCATAACTCTCTAACATTACCGTCTAGCGCATATATGTTTAACAGCAGTAGCTCATCAAAGCCTCTGTGCAGGAGAGAGGTACAACTCATCCAATTTTGTCATTCAATACCTTACTACAAAGTTTCTTTTCGAAAAACGTTCTTACAATCAAATTTTAACTTCCATTCCCAAGGGGAAGTGCAAAAAATCTCGGGGGAGGTGCAAAAAATCTCAGGGGAGGTGCAAAATGATCTCAGGGGAGGTGCGCACCTCCCCCCACCTCCCCCTCAAAATCCGGCCATGCACTATACGTGACATAATTTGCTTGTGGAGGTATGCAGTTTTGAGTGTCCTCTAGTAAACCATACTTTCCTGTTTTCTCGCGATAGACAGACTGGCGCTACCCGTTCCCGTAGGTCGGAATTGTGGTACCTTAATGTCTCTAGTATGTTGAGAAAGACGTTATTTTTGTGATGTTGCAAGGAGCATTCAGGATGTGTTATTACCAAACACCACAGGGGTAATCGCGTTTTCTCGTTATAGAATCGACGGCATCAGCTTTCAAGGATGCGACGTTCCTGTACAAAGATGAAGCAATCAAAAAAGCAAGCTGCGATCTCAATATTATTTGCTACAGTCTGGCATTGTTACCTAACAATATTTTAATCACGTTATCACATCACGAGAAGAAGTACATAAAGTTCAGTCTTTCAGTTACAAATAAGGTAAGACATTAAGCTCAGAGCCGCCTTTTGAATGATGGTCTTTAAGGCGCATTTCAGCCCTTTTAATTGAAAAAACTAACTAGGAAAATCAATTAAGCATAATTCAAGATCAGCAAACTTTATGCTTTTAACATTTTAAAACATTTTTATTGTTAAAAGCATTGAGTTTACTGATCTTGAATTATGCATAATTGATTTTCCTAGTTAGTTTTTTCAATTAAAAGGACAGAAATGCGCCTTAAAAACCATTATTCAAAAGGTTGAACTGTGCCTGCTTAGAGAGGCAGGCTTCTTCAACCCCCATAGATAGCCAGCGTTGACTAATGCCTAAAAACATTTTCCTGCTAATGCTTAATGTGTGGAATTCTTTACGAAAGTTGCGGTGATTGCGCACGAGCCTACTCTCTGAAAAATATGAATCTTTCTGTACCCTAGATGTTATCAGCCGAGATTCAAGACTCGTTTACTGGTCATGAACTGCATGGTGGTCGCCTCACTGTATCACCACATTTAAGATGGTTAGCAAGCTGTGCTCCTGATGGTAACCTTATTCTTCGTGCTGTTGGTGCTCTGGTACGGTTTTGACATATTTCGTTCTGTAGTCAGTGGAATATCGTTTATTACTGGCAGACAGGGCGGCAAATAGACATATCACGCAGATATGAGGGAAACTTCTGAAGTTTATTCTTTTAATGTCGATTTCAACTTACTTTTCACTAAAATGTTCCGAACTTCGCAAATTCGTTGCAAAGTTCGAAAACGCATAATGAAATTTACAAATCAGTTTGTAAACTGAGCATTTGATTGGCTGGTTTGATTTAGCAGCCAATCAGAGGCTTTGTTTACAAACCTGCTTGTGAATTGCATTATGAAGTTTTGAACTTTGCAACGAATTTGCGAAGTTCGGAATATTTTAGTGAAAAGTAAGTTGAAATCGACAATAACTGCAATTAGGTTTAGTATCAGAAATACTTTTTCACTCGCTACTCTGGTTTACGTAATAAATACAGTGTCAGTGGAGGCATTAGAGGAGATGCTTTTTCAATAACGAGACAGACAGAATAATGTTTCGAGTGAGAAAATGTAAGTTACTAGTGCAGTATACGTCCTACTATCTGTTATCATATAGGATCGTGTTATAAAGACTCCAGCTCATCACCATAGCAACGGTGGCGCAACCAAAGCTGTGTATTCTGGTGATGGTCAATGCATATTCACCATTGGCCGTGACGATGTGTTATCCTGTTGGCAATGGAACTTCACACAAATGGGTAAAAATAACATCACACTTTTATTTCGACTACGACCAAGCACTTGGGAAAAGTACTGCTCTTAACTGAGGACATTCTGGTCTTCTTTTGTATTGTATTGTATAACTGAGGATATTGTGGTCTTCTTTTAGGCAAAAGTAAAGCGTTAATGGCAGTAGATGCGGCAAAAACTAGGAACTCCGTCCTTGATAAGTCGAGGACTGAACAGAATTATGCAGCCAGGGAGAAGGCGGAATGGAAACTATCTGGTAGTGAGACAGATATGATTGGGAGTGAATTGCACACTGTCGATAGCGATCTCCTGCATCAAGGACATAATATTACCTGGTTGGAAAGAGTTACTGCACAGGTACTGTGGTCTGCAATTTTGATATTTTCCCTACGAACCCACTCGAGTAACTTTCGCTTAACCACAGGGTCCACTAACACAAGTTACGTACAAGTACATCAGTTCACTTAAAGCATCCACTAGAGCATGCATTAGATTTACTTAATTTCAACCCACTGGTTATCATCGCGCTGGGTGGTATACCACCAAAGCCAGTACACCTTTTGGGGGCGGTGGGAGGAGGTACCCTTAGGGGTAGACCATTAGATATCCTGGGAGAGGGGGTGGCAGACCCAAAAAGAGAATTCATGCCAAGAGTGAAATTTAAAAGCAAGCATTTCGGAAAAGAAAAAAATTCCTGCAACTACATGCAGTATACAGAAATATGTAGAAAAATATTCCTGCACAGCTACCACGCCGTAAAAAGGGAAAATAGTTCAGCCCTTAGTACATCTTCATAATACATCATTATTATTCAATATATTTGTTTCAGGCACGTCGCGAAGAAGACAGGCAGCATGCGGGACGCAAGAAAGAACTGAGAAAAGAACTACAACAGTTGAGACAACAAATAATGGAGTTGATTGAAGAGAACTCCACCTTACCTGACTTGGAGAAATTGGAACGTTATGAATTTAATCTTGACGAAGAAGAACGACAAAGATTGATTGCGTTGGGTGAACAGAGTGTTAAACAGGTCAGGAAGCAATTTTAGCCCAAGTTTAGACCTCACTTCCCGTACGAAAACTAAAGTCGTGTTTATACTGTGAACCCTGGCCGGATCTGAGCTTTGCTTTACCCTAGATAATGGTAGGGTAATCAAACATGGCCCAGCTGAGGCATGACCTACGCCAGAAAATCTCGTCCCACTGCCACCGTTGGCTTTACGTCTGGGCGAAGACAAGCCTTGTAAAGCGTGTACACGTATCACAATTACCTTGACCTGGCCTTGGGGTGGCTCTCTAGCCAAGATGAAGTACTTACGGAAGGCTGTATTTCATTCATTTGCGCGATGAATATGACATTTTTTTCTTGAAGGTTCGAGAGGAGATCGAATTAGAAAACTTGGCAAAGATGTTTCTTCGTGACGTCATCAAGAAGGAATGTTGGGATTCCATGGTCGTTAAGGGACGTGGTGTAAAAGGTTTCCATACACCCCTCGTGGTCACTAACTATCCCACGAGAGAGCGGTCTCCTGAGGAACTGCAAGAACTTGCCTTTGTTACTAGGCAACGGAAGATTGAGTGTTCAGAGATGGAATCACGAAAGACTATCCTCGGAGCAGCAAACAGCAATGTTACCCTAGGTAGGTAAAGTTTGTGCAAAACTTTGAAAATAAAAGTTATAATTTCATGCCTTAAAAATGATTGAATTTAAATGTGGTTTAAATCGCTCGAGTTCTCTGCAGTGTTTGAGGAAAACAATTTTTGAGGCGTAGGACGCCGAAACATACAGCAGTCTCAGTGACTGGGGCATGGAAGTTGTGCATCTGTCCGAAACACAATTTTATCAGGAAGGCTAGAAATGCCATGTTGCCTCTCCTCCGCAGAGGTTCTTATAACTCCGAGAACTGTCCGAAGAACAATTAATGTCATGTTGCTGTTATATTGTTGTTCAATTCAGGCGACGAAGATGAAGATGAAGCCCCGGAGGACGAAAAGGTCAAAGATGACAGGATCATTTCCCCAGCCATTTATGGCAGTCGTGCAGCCAGTTATGGTGGAGGCAATGATTTGATTGCTGATCAATTTAACCTTTACACCCTGCAACAGAAACATAACCAGATTGTCTTGATACAGGTATTCATTTACATGTCTACTGTATTGCTCTTCCCCCTCCCTAAAAATGCAATTTGAAGCAATCAGAAACAGTTAATTAAAGATACGTTTATTCATTGTGAGTTTTCGATATGTTTATTCATTTCTGAGTTTTTTTTTAATGTGTTGATGTATTTTTTAATGACTTTCTAAATGTAATGACAAATATTTTCCGCGTATTTCCAGTTGTACGAAGGCCGGATAGCGCTATCCATCGGATAGTGTTTTTTTCAACCTTTGTAAAATGCTTGAATAACTTTGAAACTACGGATATAGACGACACAAGGAGTATAAAAAACAATTAACTTATAAATACTAAACTTTAATACGAGTTATACAAATTTTTTTTCAAAAAACTGAATTGCGCTACCTTCGTACTACCTATCCTACGTTCGTACAACCGGCCCAAGATATTTAATCTTTTTTGATACGATTGTGATTCCTAACTTGTTGGATTGTTAATTATTTAGGACGGCATTTACAAAATCAAGAAATCATATAACTCTGCATTTGACGAAGTGTACCGCAACAAAATGACTGAGGTAAAACGTATTGAGGAAAAGAATGTAAGAATCAAGAAAATCTTGGCTGACCTCGGTTTGGATGACGTCATTCTTGAACCAGTTATGGATACAGAGGAATTTCCGGAAACCTTGCTGGATGTCAAGGACAGTGAGGTACCTTTTGAGAGATTTATCACCAAGGATGAACAAATCAAAATTGACGAGGAAAAGAAGCGAGAAGAAGGTAAAACATGCTTTGTAATATTATCTGGAGGACGTCTATAAACCATAGTTGATAGAATAGATGGTTTGGAAACTCGTTAGAATAACAATATAACTCGTTATCTATGTCAGTCAACGTTTATTCATAAATCTGGCACTTCACCGTCACGTGCGTATTGTATTTTGCCCAGGTAACCAATAGCAATGTTTTTGGAAAGTTACCTATCCGTGACTCGAAACAATAGGGTAAATTGGAAATTGCTATTGGTGGATTTGGCAAGAATACAATACACACGTGACGGTGAAGGAACATATTTATGAATAAACGTTGACTAACATAGATAATGAGTTATATTGTTATTCTAATGAGCTTCCAAACCATCTATTCTATTAACTATGTATAAACACAAGACGTTTACATCATGATGTTACTCTGGTAACTGTCGCTCGCCAGGTCGTTTTGGTCGTGTTTCCACTTTTTATATTTCCACAGCATGACGTCATAACGTTGATATGACATTTTCATATTTTAAGATTATGTCAAAATTCTATATTTGATCAGCTATTGAGTTGATTTGACGATTTCACTGTTTGTTGTTAGCCAATCAGAAACCATGAGTTCTTTTAAATAAATAATAATAAAAAATGTTCCAGTGATATTGTTCAGTGATGCTAATTGTGAGGTTTCTTTTATTTCATCCTCACACTAGAACGTCGTGTGTCGGAGATGGCAGACAACGCACGTGAACGCGCCTTGAATCAAATGATGAAAGGAGTACTGGAGGCTAATCCTGAGGACGAGCTCAAGAAGGACCTGGAACGACCGGAAGTACTGAAGAAGCCCGAGGAGGAATGGGGCGAGGAGGAACAACGAGTTGCCAAAGAGTTTGAAAAGAAAGAACAAGAGTTACAAGAACAACGAGAAAAATACAAGAAATCTTTAGAAACAGAACTAAGAAAACATCAAGGGAATATCAATGAAGCGACCGCAGCATTTGATGAGAAATTGAATCAGTTGTTTCAACGGAAAATTAAGACGGAGTTGACTATATTTCAGGTAAGGGACTGTAGCCGTATGAAGCAAGGAAGCGATCGTAGTATTGGGTAGGATGCGGTCATGTGAAGACTCCGTCATTTAAAATGCAAGCCTTTTAAGTTTTTGTTCTTATCCTTTCCTTAGTATTAAATTTAAGCTTGTAAAAATAAGCTGCAACTCTTCGATCAACTTCCTAATGTGCTCAGCCAGAAACATTGATGACCTTTCCTGGACCACTAAGAAGAGCACGTAGTTTTGAAAAACGGATAGAATATTCTAGATAAATAAAGCTAATTGAGTTTAGATTTCTGCCTGTAGTAACACTAGAACGACATTCGAGAGAAGGCCTTATTGAATAACAAGAGGCCCTTACTGCATACTGGGGAGAAAAGTGAAATGCTAATTGAGTTTAGTAAAGCTAGAACTTCCTATAGGAATTATTTTAAATTTAAAAAAAAATTTGTATGAATAAGTTTATTATAGCTTCTTTACCCGTATAGGAAGAACTAAAAGTCCTTCGTCTCACCGCCTCTATTGTTGCCGAAGAAGAACTAAATATTCGCGAGGAACACTTGGTTCATGTTTTAGAAGAGAAGAAACATCATAAAGGACGTCTAACGAGTGCTGTAGCTCAGGCAAAACGTGAAATGGAACTATTTCGTGATGAGTATGAGATTATGATGGCGGATGATAAATCTTTGGATAAAGGATTCAAGCGAGATTTCAGTGATCAGGATCCTCACACTGTTGATCAGTTGTACAAACTGTTTAAACGGCGACCAAGGTAACGTCACCATTTGTAAATCAGTGAATCTGTTTTGTGTCGGGCTGGATTTTTCAAGTGCCGTTTTGAGGGGGTCACCAGTGCTGAGACTGAAAATTGTTGTTTTTTTTACTTTGGTCAAGTTTTTGGCCACGAACTTCCAGACGAAGGGCTCGAAATGTCAAAGTTCTTATTGGCCGTTTTTATACTAGAGGCGCATTATGCGTCTGGACGCATAATCCGTCTTCTACATTATTCGTCTAGTATAAAGATTGGACGAATAATACTAGACGAATAATGTAGAAGACGGATTATGCCTCCAGACGCATAATGCGTCTCTAGTATAAAAACGGCCAATGCGACGAACTATCAACATTTATTGTTCGTCTGGTTATGCGTATAAAGACGGGCACAAGACGCATTATGCGTCTAGACGAACTATCATCGGTTGTGCGTCTCTTAAGACGAAGAATCGAACATAGTTCGTCTAGACGCATAATGCGTCTTTTGCCCGTCTTTATACTAAGGACGCATAACCAGACGAACAACAAATGCTTGCCCAAGTTCGTCCAGACGTATAATGCGTCTCTAGTATAAAAACGGCCATTGTATTCCTCGGGTGGTTTGTATCACATACAAAGACAACAGTATAAATAAAGTTAGTTTAGAAATCCTCCTGCAGTGCCTCCTGAAACAGGACGGATGACATCTTACTGGATCTCCAGTTTAGAACGGGTTATCTAGTTAAGTTTATAGTTAACTTATGAAGTACCAAAGAGAGTCGTCCCTGTCTGAGACATAGTCTATCAAGACATGATGGTTTGGAAACTAAAGTGTTTGTTATATGTTTTTGTCTGAATTGAGCTCATTGTACGTATTTTCGTATAAGTAAGCAACTGTCCAATAGGGATAGCTGAGATGAAACGTGCAGCCACAATGAATAATATGTAATGAAGTTGAGACAAAGGATTTGTGCACAGTGAGGTACAGTTCAACATCAAACAAAAGTCTTTTGTGGCCGTTTGAAGTTTGCCGGGATTCCAGACCATCATGGATTAATAAACTATGTCTGAGACGAGCCATTAATTGACCATTTGCGTAATAGACTAAATTTTGATCTCAACAAAAATTTCATTACAGCTTGAAAGAGCATCACAAAATTAGTAATATTCCAAAGTTTCGTTGCAAAATGTTGTAAAATGCGGAAAATATAGCCTTGCGAAATTTGCAATTTTCAGTCATTTTAGATTACAGCCTCGAAGGGTTTGGGGCTGTCAATTTCCCGTTTGTAATCTAAAATGACTGAAAATTGCAAATTTCGCAAGGCTATATTTTCCGCATTTTACAACATTTCGCAACGAAACTTCGGAATATTACTAATTTTGTGATGCTCCTTCAAGCTGTGATGAAATTTTTGCCTAGACTTGTTTAGTTCAAAATTTAGTCTATTACGCAAATGGTCAATTCGTTGGTCAGTTATTGCTTAGACATAAACTGTAGAATAATATTTTTGAAATTGATAATTGAAATTTTCCTATGACCATAAAATAAATACATGCATACAGTGTGACCTGACTATAAAAGATTAGAGGATAAATAGCTAACGATTCAAATGTAACTGAAAGATTGTACATGACCTGAATTATAGGCCGGCCCGTGCGATTGAATGATAAAGATGATCTTGTGGCCCTGTGATTCTTTTGTAGCTTTCTGAGATTGCACTGCAGAGTATAGTTGCCAAGAGCCAGGCCCTGGTTATTTATCCACCTAGCATAGTCCATGCAGTTAATTTAACCAGTCTATAGCAGGAAAATGGTTAAAATAACCAGGAAATTTAACCGGGAATATTAAGTTAGCCCAAATAGGATTCTTTATATAAGTTAACCATGCAAGGAAAATTTAACCAGAGTGCTTTTAGAGTGTATGTATGTATATTATATTATTATTATTGGGTTGTTATTCACAAACGACGTTTTGTTTCTTTGTAGCTAAGCCTAACGTTACAGGTGTAACGTTTGCACCAAACCCAGCTGTAGTTGGTGAAGAAGTTACCATAACGTGTGATGAATCTGATGGTGTTCCTGAGCCAAGTTATACCATAAACAGGTCAGCAGTGAGAGGACGCTTACGATATCTGAAGTAAAGCGGAGTGATGAAGGACCATATACATGTGTTGCACAGAATAAACTTGGCAATGACTCAGCTACCGCTAATTTGACAGTCTTAGGTAAGATTAAATTTTACGTTTTTTCGGAAAAAAACCTGTATAGTGTAGCTAGTGTGTACATGGTTTTTAATGTAAGTGAAACGTACAAATTGGTACAATTAACAGAACAAATTACGTGTAAGTTAGCGAGGAGTTAAAATGTTATCATGTTATTTATGCAAGATTGCAAGTTCATACTAAATCTTTAGCAATCTTTATTACCATCAATCCGTTAATTTTTTTGCAAAATTAGTACGAATTAAATCCGCGATTTAATTATTATTTTGACGTAGCTACACAGTGCACGTACAACTTGATTTAGTCGCACAAAGTGGGGAAAATAAGCTGATAAACAAGAAATATGCATGTAAGATAATAGTAAAAAATGCATGAAAATAGGACAATGTGGCGAAATTCTTAGCTTTTCGAAAATTTCCGAAGTTTAGCAAGGAATTTGATTAGTCGGGCAAAATGCAAAAGTCGGGCAAATTTCGTTCTCTCCCCTAATTCTTCCGCTCCCGTCGCCTATGTAATTTCGCATGAGACTTGTTTAATTACCTTTTCATAAAATTCCGTTCTGCTAAAATCATTTTATTTTCAATTGATAAATAGAAGCGAGATCAACACCAAAACCACCATTAACGTCGACAAGCAATGGACAAGACAATGGAGAAGGTAACACGACACAGCCATGTAACTTTATTCCACATGTGAAGCAGCCAAATTACATCAGTTAAGTTTTTCCTTTCCATGAAAATACTTTAAAACAAGTACAATTTCTAATAAATTATAAATCCCTTTGCAAACCTTTTTAAAAACTATACTCATGATTTAGGGTTTAGACGCTATAAAAACTATACTCATGATTCCTAGTTTAGACGCTATATCAAACCATGTAACCACAAAAGATCACTTAACACTACACTGTAGAAAACTATTGCATCATACCCTAATCAAGCCTGTTTTAGAATATTGTTGTAGTAAAAAGGAAAAGCATGTGCATTGTGGCTCAGTGGGTTATAACAGGACACATATAAGAGTGCCAGACTCTACTCCTACTCTACAAGTGAATCGTCCGTTGTTAGACCCAAGTAAATTAACAAATTTTGACTTGCAGGAAGAAACCTTTACTCAGTTTTACCTTAATTTGTTTTAGATACATTCTCAGATGAAGATGGTGGTGGTGGTCTGGGCGTTGGTGCAATTATTGGAATTGTTATTGGTGTGTTGGTATTACTGGTCATTGTTATCGTTGTGGTATGGCGCTATAAATCGAAAGGAGGCTAGTTTTTAATTACAAGAAATAGAATATAATAACAATAAACATACTAAGATTATAAATATCAAACATATTTAACTGACAAAATATCCAAAGCGGTCAGTGTTCGTGATAAATTTGTTAGTTGATTATATACATGCCAGTGGATTATAATCAACGTCCTCGGACTTTAGTTTAGTAATAAATTTTATACATTAATTATCTTTATGGGTACTAAGAGTTTCCAATCCTGTGCAAATCAAAGCCCCTCCCGTTTTTCAACAGGCACTCCGGATATGTGAATCACATTATCACATTGCAGATTGTATTTAAGGAAAGATATAACCATTTCCTTACACTTGTTTGGATTAAGTTCCATTCCCCGATTCGATGCAAAATTAAAGATTTCGTCAACAACGACATGTAGTACACTAGGCGAACACCGCGGGACAATCTCCAACAGTGTGGTGTCATCAACGAACTTTACCCGCCCCTGCCAATCTTTCAAATGGGAGTTAGTAAGAATGGCGAAGAGAATAGGGCCAAGTTTAGTGCCCTGAGGTAGGCCACCGTTAACTTTCTTGCAGGAAGAAGATGCCGTTGCGAGTTTAACACTTTGCTCCCGGCCAGTAAGAAAGGATTTAATCCATCTAATAATAGCCGGATGGACTTGGAGGTTTCTAAGTTCACCAACAATGAAATTGTGATCAACGAGATCGAAGCCTTTCCTAAAATTGGCAAAGAATAATCTTGCATAACAATGTCCTACGTCTAAGCCAGCATGAATCAGATGCAGGAGGTAAACCAATTCCTGAGTGGTTGATTTCCTAGGCAAAGCAAACTGTTTGGTATACCCAATGAGATATTATGTAACTACTTTAGAGATAAAACTAAAATAAATTGATTGACAATGATCGATAATGTAAGGCAGCAACTTCCGGACGATGCCAACCAAACTTAATAATACAGTTAAGGAGGCTGTCAAGTCCGTTCTGCTCATGCGCGTGTTTTGTTTACATTTTTTCTTTCAAAAAATAGATAATTTATTTAAAATTCCGATCTGTGGGTCCACAGATCGGAATTTTAAAATTATCTATTAATTGTTTGAAACAAAAAATGTAAACAAAACAAACGCATGAGCAGAACGGACTTGACAGCCTCTTTAATGGTATTGTATTGAATTGAATTGAATTTATTTCCGCCATGAGTTTTAATATTGTTTTACAATATTCTTCAAAGAGCTAATATTACATATATCTAACAAGAAATCAGTAAATTTAACACTCTGCAATAGTTAATAAATAATAACCAAAGTTAAGATTTCCACGATCATCGGCATCATACGTAATTCGGCAAGGGCCGCTAAATTAATTGTTAGACTTGGCATGAACTCCTAAAATACGCTCACAGAATTTTGAACGGGCCTATTTTAAACATGAAATTACACTAAAAAAATTCATCTTGAACATATCAGTATTGGTTATATTGGTTATTTGCATATTGCTGACATGTGCAAATTACGCAAAGGCATTAATTAAGCATGCAAAAAAGGCTGATCTTTTCAGAAACTGAAATGTAAATTTGCGTGAATAGTTAAAGGGCTTCAACTGAGGCAAATTCTTTCAAATTTCGTGCAACAATTAAACACACAACACATGTTTCACCCATTAACTCAAAATACGATTAAAGCTTTATTTTAAAACTCTTGTGCAACCCATTTTTAGTTTGTTGGAAAAGACACCCCCCCCACCCTCTGGTTTACAAAATTTGACTTCGAGAAATTTTTTTCATTATTCTACATTATAAGTACCCCAAGAAGCTATGTATAACAAAAACTGGATACTAATGGCCGTTTTGCGAAACTGAGAGCAATTTCAAATGTGTTCAGTTTTTTTTTTATACACACTGTGAACACCCTCCCCCCACCCCCATCTTTCGCAGAATATTATAGTATTGGAGACACACTCTGAAGTTTGGCAAGAACATACCAAAAGAATGACTACAATAAGTGGGACGATTCGCAAACCACCAAACACACCTAAGGTTCTGCATGCTATATCTGGAAGTAAACAGGGGGAGGGAAAGGGGGGTATGCATCACGTTTCACAACGAAAAAAAAAAGACATTTCACGGAAAACTAGATTCTAATAAATAATATAATAATAATAGGTTTATTAAGAGTATATGTTTCAGGAACCTTGTCCTCAGCGTCAGCAACCTTGTCCTCACCGTCAGGAACCTTGTCCTCACCGTCAGGAACCTTGTCCTCAACGTCATAAACCTTGTCCTCTCCGTAAAGAACTTTGTCTTCACCGTCAGGAACCTTGTCCACATTGTTAGGAACCTTGTCCTCTGGGTCAGGATCCTTGTCCTCGCCGTCAGGAACCTTGTCCTCTCCGTAAGGTACATTGTCATCACCGTCAGGAACCTTGTCCTCATTGTCAGGAACCTTGTCCTCATCGTCAGGAACCTTGTACTCACCGTCAGGGACCTTGTCCTCACCGTCAGGAACCTTGTCCTCACTGTCAGGAACCTTGTCATCAGCGTCCGGAACCTTGTCCTCACCATCAGGAACCTTGTCCTCACCGTCAGGAACCTTGTTCTCACCCTCAGGAACCTTGTCCTCAGTGTCAGAAACCTTGTCCTCACCGTCAGGAACCTTGTCCTCACGGTCACGAACCTTCTCCTCGGCGTCCGGAACCTTGTCCTCAGTGTCACGAAACTTGTCGTCAGCTCAAGGAACCTTGTCCTCAATGTCAGAAACCTTGTTCTCAGCGACAGGAACCTTGTCCTTACCGTCAGGAACCATGTCCTCACCGTCAGGAACCTTGTCCTCACCCTCAGGAACCTTGTTCTCAATCTCGGAAACCTTGTTGTCAGCGTCATGGAACCTTGTCCTTACCGTCAGGAACCTTGTCCTCACCGTCAGGAAACTTGTCCTCAAAGTCAGGAACCTTTTCCTCACCGTCAGAAACCTTGTCCTCTGCGTAAGGAACCTTGTCTTCACCGTCAGGAACCTTGTCCTCATTGTCAGGAACCTTGTCCTCTGGGTCAGGAACCTCGTCCTCACCGTTAGGAACCTTGTCATCTGCGTAAGGAACCTTGTCCTCACCGTCAAGAACCTTGTCCTCAGCGTCAGTAACATTTTCCTCACCGTCAGGAGCCTGGTTCTCAGCATCAGGAAGCTTGTCCTCACCCTCAGGAACCTTGTCCTCACCGTCAGTAACCTTGTCCTCACCCTCATGAACATTGTCCCCTGCATAAGGAACCTTGTCTTCAGCCTCAGGAACCTTCTCCTCTACGTAAGGAACCTTGTCTTCACCGTCAGGAACCTTGTCCTCAGCGTAAGGAACCTTGTCCTCAGCGTCAGGAACCTTGTCCTCACCGCCAGGGACCTTGTCATCACCGTCAGCAACCTTGTGCTCACTGTCAGGAACCTTGTCCTCAGCGTCAGGAACCTTGTCCTCACCGTCAGGAACCTTGTCCTCAGTGTCAGGAAACTTGTCGTCAGCGTCAGGAACCTTGTCCTCAATGTCAGAAACCTTGTTCTCAATGTCAGAAACCTTGTTCTCAGCGTCAGGATCCTTGTCCTTACCGTCAGGAACCTTGTCCTCACCGTCAGGAACCTTGTCCTCACCCTCAGGAACCTTGTCGTCAGTGTCACAAACCTTGTCCTCAGCGTCAGAAACCTTGTCCTCACCATCAAGAACCTTGTCCTCACTGTCAGGAACCTTGTCCTCAGCGTCAGGAAACTTGTCCTCACCGTCAGGAACCTTGTCCTCGCCGTCAGGAACCTTGCCTCTGCGTAAGGAACCTTGTCTTCACCGTCAGGAACCTTGTCTTCACCGTCAGCAACCTTGTCCTCAGCGTAAGGAACCTTGTCCTCAGCGTCAGGAACCTTGTCCTCACCGTCAGGGACCTTGTCATCACCGTCAGCACCCTTGCGCTCACTGTCAGGAACCTTGTCCTCAGCGTCCGGAACCTTGTCCTCAGTGTCAGGAACCTTGTCCTCACCGTCAGGGACATTGTCCTCACCGTCAGGAACCTTGTCCTCACTGTCACGAACCTTGTCCTCAGCGTCCAGAACCTTGTCCTCAGTGTCAGGAAACTTGTCGTTAGCGTCAGGAACCTTGTCCTCAGCGTCAGGAACCTTCTCCTCACCGTCAGGAACCTTGTCCTCACCGTCAAGATCCTTGTCCTCACCGTCAGGAACGTTGATTTCACCGTCAGGAACCTTGTCCTCACCGTCAGCAACCTTGTCCTCAGCGTCAAGAAACTTCTCCTCAGTGTCAGGAAAGTTGTCGTCAGCGTCAGGAACCTTGTCCTCACTGTCAGGAACCTTGTCCTCAGCGTCAGGAACCTTGTCCTCACCGTCAAGATCCTTGTCCTTACCGTCAGGAACCTTGATCTCACCGTCAGGAACCTTGTCCTCACCATCAGGAACCTTGTCCTCAGCGTCAGGAAACTTGTCCTCATTGTCAGGAAACTTCTCGTCAGCGTCAGGAACCTTGTCCTCACTGTCAAGATCCTTGTGCTCAGCGTCAGGAAGCTTCTCCTCACCTTCAAGATCCTTGTCCTCACCGTCAGGAACCTTGACCTCACCGTCAGTAACCTTGTCCTCGCTGTCAGCAACCTTGTCCTCAGCGTTAGCAACCTTGCCCTCATTGTCAGGAAGCTTGTCGCCAGCGTCAGGAACCTTGTCCTCAATGTCAGAAACCTTGTCCTAAGCGTCAGGAACCTTGTCCTCACCGTCAAAAAATTTGTCCTCACTATCAGGAACCTTCTCCTCAGCGTCAGGAACTTTGTCCTCACCGTCAGGAACCTTGTCCTCACCGTCAGCGACCTTGTCCTCACCCTCAGGAACCTTGTCCTCACCGTCAGGAACCTTGTCCTCAGCGTAAGGAACCTTGTCTTCACCGTCAGGAACCTTGTCCTCAGCGTCAGGAACCTTGTCCTCAGCGTTAGGAACCTAGTCCTCACCGTCAGGGACCTTCTCCTCACTGTCAGAAACCTTGTACTCAGCGTCAGGAACCTTGTCCTCACCGTCAGGAAGCTTGTCCTCACCCTCAGGAACCTTGTCATCAATGTCAGGAACTTTGTCCTCAGCGTCAGCAACCCTGTCCTCACTGTCAGGAACCTTGTCGTTAATGTCAGGAACCTCGTCCTCACCGTCAGGAACCTTGCCCTCACCGTCAGGGACCTTCTCCTCACTGTCAGAAACCTTGTACTCAGCGTCAGGAACCTTGTCCTCACCGTCAGGAACCTTCTCCTCACCGTCAGGAACCTTGTCATTAATGTCAGGAACTTTGTCCTCAATTTCAGAAACCTTGTTCTCAATGTCAGAAACCTTGTTCTCAGCGTCAGGAACCTTGTCCTTACCGTCAGGAACCTTGTCCTCACCGTCAGGAACCTTGTACTCACCCTCAGGAACCTTGTCGTCAGTGTCAGAAACCTTGTCCTCAGCGTCAGAAACCTTGTCCTCACAATCAAGAACCTTGTCCTCACTGTCAGGAACCTTGTCCTCAGCGTCAGGAACCTTGTCCTCACCGTCAGGAACCTTGTCCTCGCCGTCAGGAACCTTGCCTCTGCGTAAAGAACCTTGTCTTCACCGTCAGGAACCTTGTCCTCACCCTCAGGATCCTTGTCCTCTACATAAGGAACCTTGTCTTCACCGTCAGGAACCTTGTCCTCAGCGTCAGGAACCTTGTTCTCACCGTCAGCAACCTTCTCCTCGGCGTCCGGAACCTTGTCCTCAGTGTCAGGAAACTTGTCGTTAGCGTCAGGAACCTTGTCCTCAGCGTCAGGAACCTTCTCCTCACCGTCAGGAACCTTGTCCTCATCGTCAAGATCCTTGTCCTCACCGTCAGGAACGTTGATTTCACCGTCAGGAACCTTGTCCTCACCGTCAGGAACCTTGTCCTCAGCGTCAGGAAACTTGTCCTCAGTGTCAGGAAACTTGTCGTCAGCGTCAGGAACCTTGTCCTCACTGTCAAGATCCTTGTCCTCACCGTCAGGAACCTTGTCCTCACCCTCAGGAACCTTGTCGTCAGTGTCAGAAACCTTGTCATCAGCGTCAGAAACCTTGTCCTCACCATGAAGAACCTTGTCCTCACTGTCAGGAACCTTGTCCTCAGCGTCAGGAACCTTGTCCTCACCGTCAGGAACCTTGTCCTCGCCGTCAGGAACCTTGCCTCTGCGTAAGGAACCTTGTCTTCACCGTCAGGAACCTTGTCTTCACCGTCAGGAACCTTCTCCTCAGCGTAGGAACCTTGTCCTCAGCGTCAGGAACCTTGTCCTCAGCGTCAGGGACCTTGTCATCACAGTCAGCAACCTTGCGCTCACTGTCAGAAACCTTGTCCTCAGCGTCAGAAACCTTGTCCTCACCCTCAAGAACCTTGTCCTCACTGTCAGGAACCTTGTCCTCAGCGTCAGGAACCTTGCCTCTGCGTAAGGAACCTTGTCCTCACCGTCAGGAACCTTCTCCTCAGCGTCCGGAACCTTGTCCTCAGTGTGAGGAAACTTGTCCTCAGCGTCAGGAACTTTGTCCTCAGTGTCAGGAAACTTGTCGTCAGCGTCAGGGACCTTGTCCTTACCGTCAGGAACCTTGTTCTCACCGTCAGGAACCTTGTCCTCACCCTCAAGAACCTTGTCGTCAGTGTCAGAAACCTTGTCCTCAGCGTCAGAAACCTTGTCCTCACCCTCAACAACCATGTCCTCACTGTCAGGAACCTTGTCCTCGCCGTCAGGAACCTTGCCTCTGCGTAAGGAACCTTGTCTTCACCGTCAGGAACCTTGCCATCATTGTCAGGAACCTTGTCCTCTGCGTCAGAAATCTTGTCCTCAGCGTCAGGAACCTTGTCCTCACCCGCAGGAACCTTGTCCTCTGCGTAAGGAACCTTGTCTTCACCGTCAGGAAACTTGTCCTCAGCGTCAGAAACCTTGTCCTCACCGTCAGGAACCTTGTTCTCACCGTCAGGAACCTTGTCCTCACCGTCAGGAACCTTCTCCTCAGCGTCAGGAACGTTGTCGTCACTGTCAAAAACCTTGTCCTCAGCGTCAGGAACCTTGTCCTCAATGCAAGTCAGGAACCTTGTCCTCACCGTCAGAAACCTTGTACTTAGCGTCAGGAACCTTGTCCTTACCGTCAGGAACCTTGTGCTCACCGTCAGGAACCTTGTCATCAATGTCAGGAACCTTGTCCTCACCGTCAGGAACCTTGTCCTCACCGTCAGGAACCTTGCCCTCGCCGTCAGGAACCTTGCCTCTGCGTAAGCAACCTTGTCTTCACCGTCAGGAACCTTGCCCTCATTGTCCGGAACCTTGTCCTCTGCGTCAGGAATCTTGTCCTCAGCGTCAGGAACCTTGTCCTCACAGTGAGGAACCTTGTCCTCACCGTCAGGAACCTTCTCCTCAGCGTCAGGAAACTTGTCCTCAGTGTCAGGAAACTTGTCGTCAGCGTCAGGAACCTTGTCCTCAGTGTCAGGAACCTTGTCGTCAGCGTCAGGAACCTTGTCCTCACCGTCAAGATCCTTGTCCTCACCGTCAGGAACCTTGTCCTCACCCTCAGGAACCTTGTCGTCAGTGTCAGAAACCTTGTCCTCAGCGTCAGAAACCTTGTCCTCACCATCAAGAACCTTGTCCTCACTGTCAGGAACCTTCTCCTCAGCGTCAGGAACCTTGTCCTCACCGTCAGGAACCTTGTCCTCGCCGTCAGGAACCTTGCCTCAGCGTAAGGAACCTTGTCAGCAGCGTCAGGAACCTTGTCCTCACCGTCAGGGACCTTATCATCACCGTCAGCAACCTTGCGCTCACTGTCAGGAACCTTGTCCTCAGCGTCCGGAAGCTTGTCCTCAGTGTCAGGAACCTTGTCCTCACCGTCAGGGACATTGTCCTCACCGTCAGGAACCTTGTCCTCACTGTCACGAACCTTGTCCTCAGCGTCCAGAACCTTGTTCTCAGTGTCAGGAAACTTGTCGTTAGCGTCAGGAACCTTGTCCTCAGCGTCAGGAACCTTCTCCTCACCGTCAGGAACCTTGTCCTCACCGTCAAGATCCTTGTCCTCACCGTCAGGAACCTTGATCTCACCGTCAGGAACCTTGTCCTCACCGTCAGGACCTTGTCCTCAGCATCAGGAAACTTGTCCTCATTGTCAGGAAACTTCTCGTCAGCGTCAGGAACCTTGTCCTCACTGTCAAGAACCTTGTGCTCAGCGTCAGGAACCTTCTCCTCACCTTCAAGATCCTTGTCCTCACCGTCAGGAACCTTGACCTCACCGTCAGTAACCTTGTCCTCGCTGTCAGGAACCTTGTCCTCAGCGTTAGGAACCTTGTCCTCATTGTGTCAGCAAACTTGTCGTCAGCGTCAGGAACCTTGTCCTCAATGTCAGAAACCTTGTCCTAAGCGTCAGGAACCTTATCCTCACCGTCAAAAACCTTGTCCTCGCTATCAGGAACCTTGTCCTCAGCGTCAGGAACTTTCTCCTCACCGTCAGGAACCTTGTCCTCACCGTCAGGGACCTTGTCCTCACCGTCAGGAACCTTGTCCTCACCGTTAGGAACCTTGTCCTCACCCTCAGGAACCTTGTCCTCAGCGTAAGGAACCTTGTCCTCAGCGTTAGGAACCTAGTCCTCACCGTCAGGGACCTTCTCCTCACTGTCAGAACCCTTGTACTCAGCGTCAGGCACCTTCTCACCGTCAGGAACCTTGTCCTCACCGTCAGGAACCTTGTCATAAATGTCAGGAACTTTGTCCTCAGCGTCAGGAACCCTGTCCTCACTGTCAGGAACCTTGTCGTTAATGTCAGGAACCTTGTCCTCACCGTCAGGAACCTTGTCCTCACCGTCAAGAACCTTGTCCTCACTGTCAGGAACCTTGTCCTCAGCGTCAGAAACCTTGTCCTCACCGTCAGGAACCTTGTCCTCACCGTCAGAAACCTTGTCCTCACCGTCAGGAACCTTGTCCTCAAAGTCAGGAACCTTTTCCTCACCGTCAGAAACCTTGTCCTCTGCGTAAGGAACCTTGTCTTCAAAGTCAGGAACCTTGTCCTCATTGTCAGGAACCTTGTCCTCTGGGTCAGGAACCTCCTCCTCACAGTTAGAAACCTTCTCATCTGCGTAAGGAACCTTGTCATCACCGTCAGCAACCTTGTCCTCATTGTCAGGAACCTTGTCCTCACCGTCAGGAACGTTGTTGTTACTGTCAGAAAACTTGTCGTCAGCGTCAGGAACCTTGTCCTCAATGTCAAAACCCTTTTCCTCAGCGTCAGGAACCTTGTCCTCACCGTCAAGAACCTTGTCCTCAGCGTCAGTAACCTTTTCCTCACCGTCAGGAGCCTGGTTCTCAGCATCAGGAAGCTTGTCCTCACCCTCAGGAACCTTGTCCTCACTGTCAGGAACCTTGCCATCATTGTCAGGAACCTTGTCCTCTGCGTCAGGAACCTTGTCCTCACCGTCAGGAACCTTGTCTTCACCGTCAGGAACCTTCTCCTCAGCGTCAGGAACGTTGTCGTCACTGTCAAGAACCTTGTCCTCAGCGTCAGAAACCTTGTCCTCAGCGTCAGGAACCTTGTTCTCAATGTCAGGAACATTGTCCTAACCGTCAGAAACCTTGTACTCAGCGTCAGGAACCTTGTCCTCACCCTCAGGAACCTTGTCCTCACCGTCAGGAACCTTGTTCTCACCCTCAGGAACCTTGTCCTCTGCGTAAGGAACCTTGCCTTCACCGTCAGGACCTTGTCCTCAGCGTCAGGAACCTTGTCCTCAGCGTTAGGAACCTAGTCCTCACCGTCAGGGACCTTCTCCTCACTGTCAGAACCCTTGTACTCAGCGTCAGGAACCTTGTCCTCACCGTCAGGAACCTTGTCCTCACCGTCAGGAACCTTGTCATCAATGTCATGAACTTTGCCCTCAGCGTCAGGAACCCTGTCCTCACTGTCAGGAACCAGGTCGTTAATGTCAGGAACCCTGGCCTCACCGTCAGGAACCTTGTCCTCACAGTCAAGAACCTTGTTCTCACTGTCAAGAACCTTGTCCTCAGCGTCAGAAACCTTGTCCTCACCGTCAGAAACCTTGTCCTCACTGTCAGGAACCTTGTCCTCATCCGTCAGGAACCTTGTTCTCACCGTCAGGAACCTTCTCCTCAGCGTCAGGAACGTTGTCGTCACTGTCAAGAACCTTGTCCTCAGCGTCAGGAACCTTGTCCTCAATGCATGTCAGGAACCTTGTCCTCACCGTCAGGAACCTTGTCCTCAGCGTCAGGAACCTTGTCCTCAGCCTGAGGAACCTTGTCCTCAATGTCAGGAACCTTGTCCTCATCGTTAGAAACCTTGTACTCAGCGTCAGGAACCTTGTTCTCACCGTCAGGAACCTTGTGCTCACCGTCAGGAACCTTGTCATCAATGTCAGGAACTTTGTCCTCAGCGTCAGGAACCCTGTCCTCACTGTCAGGAACCTTGTCGTTAATGTCAGGAACCATGTCCTCACCGTCAGGAACCTTGTCGTCACCGTGAAGAACCTTGTCCTCACGGTCAGGAATATTGTCCTCCGCCTCAGGAACCTTGTCCTCACCGTCAGGAACCTTCTCCTCAGCGTCAGGAACGTTGTCGTCACTGTCAAGAACCTTGTCCTCAGCGTCAGGAACCTTGTATTCACCCTCAGGAACCTTGTCGTCAGTGTCAGAAACCTTGTCCTCAGCGTCAGAAACCTTGTCCTCACCATCAAGAACCTTGTCCTCACTGTCAGGAACCTTCTCCTCAGCGTCAGGAACCTTGTCCTCACCGTCAGGAACCTTGTCCTCGCCGTCAGGAACCTTGCCTCTGCGTAAGGAACCTTGTCTTCACCGTCAGGAACCTTGTCTTCACCGTCAGGAACCTTCTCCTCAGCGTAGGAACCTTGTCCTCAGCGTCAGGAACCTTGTCCTCACCGTCAGGGACCTTGTCATCACCGTCAGCAACCTT